ACTGGAAGGATTTGGCGATATAGGGGGGGGGGGGGGGGGGCAACCTCATATTTTGCATGCCTTCGCGGTTAGACCATTGACCACGCGTCCTCGAGACGGCGGAGCATGTGGAGGGAGGGGGGGGGCGGTTGTCGAAACGTTGGTATGCTTGCCGACACATGGTGAGGACGGGCATGAGCAACAAACTTGATGACAAGAAAGAAAAGAGCAGCACTCTCAAAACACTCCAAACAACGGCATACACGCCACCATGTCTTCAACAAACGCGGAGCGTCCAACACCCCGTACCAATCGACGACATCAGGTTCGCAGTCAAACATGTTTTGCAGTAACATAATCCAGCGCCCACCAACACACGTTATCCACAAAAATATATACTGGACAAAACTGGGCCTCGGGTCGAAGGCAAGGTAAAGCAGTCCTTCGGTCCTTCTGGTCCTCGCAACGTTGTACATAGGACAACACAAGATGACTTGCCGCAAGAATCGTCCGTCGCCGCGCCATCCCCCGCCATAGACCCAGCTGATCGCGCGCCGCGGCCGCGGCCCTGCGAAAAAACGCAAATTGGTGTTTTGTTAGTACGACAGGGTGGACAAACAAAAAAATCAAGCCTTCATTTCAATCAGGAGCCTAGGTAGCACGTGGGTTTGTTGTTGTGGATTGGACGGAGCTTGGGTGCGCGCGAGATGAGCATCCCGTCGCCTTCACGCGCAAATCGATCGAGAATGGTGTTGAACTGCAACGGAGAGAGTCTCAACATGCATGCATGCGAGCGGGTACGTAAACAAAATGAAATACAACCAACACCGCCTTATTTTCTTCGTTGCTTTTCGAGCGACAAGCGTGAACACTACGCCCACGAACAACAAGAGACAAAAGGCTCCCTCCCCCGGTACAAGAAAAAAAGGATTATTTGCTCGCCCTGCCGCTTCCATACAACAAGAGCCCTGGGGTTTAGACGAGATTGGGGTTGGCTCCTCCTTCGCGTCGGAATGCGGATTTCGTGTGCATACGCATACGCCTACAGCAAGTGACATCCTTGAGAGGAGGAAAAAAAAACTCTGACAGTCCCCCGCTGCGGGGAACCAGCCGTGGTCTAGCATTTTACGACCCCCCCCCCCCCCCCCCAAAACAAAACCATCATCTCTGTTTGGTATTGTCGAAACATGCATGCGACCAATACTGCTGCCGTTGAAGCATCGCTCCGGAATCAAATACAACCCATGCACACATCAGCAACAAACCGGGCCATACAAGTGCCAGTGGAAGAGCAGCATATATTTATTCACCACGTGTGCACCGTACCACAGTGTACCCACATTGACATCGGGGAAACAGATTCTGAGTGGAGATATGTGATGTACTTCGTACGAGCGCATTTCTGACCTCAGTGTTGCTCAGCTGACTCGCTGTGTCCTCGCTGTAGCGCCAACCGTCCGCCGACCCGCCATCCGTGCCTTATGGACAAGTCGCCGAATCCCACAGACCACAAAAACAATAAAAAAGGCAGAAAACCAAGACGCGGTGTTATTGATCAGAGGACGAACGTTAGGCCGAGTCTTACGTCGTGATTATTCGGAGATTTGTTCTTGCTCTCGGTCGAGGGGGGGTGGTCTGCAAGGGAAACATTATCTGGGCCCAAGCACCTTCTTACGGTTCCTCGAGACAGATTTTTTTCTCAGGGGAAAAAAGGGGCCGATTGTAGTCTTTGTGGGTCACAACATGCTTCAGTTCACGGTTTTGGCTCGTGTGCGACCAACAAGACACCGAGTGCCCTGTTTTTGGGTCGCCTACAGAGGGCATGTGTATAATCGCACGCCAGTGACTGCAGTTTGTGGATGTCGTCGGCCAAAGGCCTCTCTCTGGCATGCGTTGTGGACTGATCACGCCCGGAGCAACCAGCAAAAAAAAGGACACGTCCAAAAAAGTCAACATGGCAACACACTTCGGTTCACGTTTACAGGCCGTGTGCAATCAAAACTGGACAATACGCTCTGCTTCTGGGACGCGAGTAGAGGGTATGTGTATGATCACACGCCATTGGCTGTAGTTTGTGGATGTCATCGGCCGAAAGTCTCCCTCTGGCATGCGTTGTGGACTGGTAGCGGGTGACACACGGAGCAAACACGCCGCGGAACAAGAAAAAAGTCCAAAAAGTCAACACCGCAACACACTTCGGTTCACGTTTACAGGCCGTGTGCAATCAAAACTGGACAATACGATATGTTTCTGGGACGCGAGCGGAGGGTATGTATATGATCACACGCCACTGGCTGCAGTTTGTGGATGTCGACGGCGTAAAGCCTATCTCTGGCGTGCGTTTTGACTGGTCACACATGCAGCAGGCACAACAACGGCTCTTTTCGGCCCAAAGGCAAGAAAGTCAGCAGAGCAATGTAGCAGGGTTGACGTTATCGGCTCGTGTACGGCCAACACGACGCAGAACGCCCTGAATTTGAGATGCGTGCAGAGGGTTTGTGCATGACCTCATGATACTGGCCTCTGTTTGGCCAGCAGACGGTGTAGTTCCTCGTTCTGGCACGATCGGGGTGTGACAGGGGGTGACCCCCCCCAATTCCAAACTGGAAATTATCAGCCGATCCAGTTTGGAAAATGGGCCTATTTTCCAACGCGGCAGCTGGGATCCTAGGAAATATTCGGTGATTTGGAATTTGGGCGTTTGGAATTGGCCGAATTCCTCCGCGTAAGACGCTCAAATAATTGTTTTGGCTGAGAAAAGGACCCCCCCCCAAAACAAAATTCCGAAATAATTACGACGTAAGACTCGGCCTTATATTAGGCTGACTCCTTATGGCAACCGAAAGTTGGCCAGACGGATTTTTTTGGGCTGGCATACACCCCCACCCCCCGGATTTGCCACGGATTCGACCAAGAGACAGACCTCTCACTACATCACCACAGAGTTGTCCCTCCATGATGGTCGGATCGTCACCAAACCCTGTACGCACCACACCTGTAGGCGTCTTTGAAGCTAGTGGTGA